GATTCATGTTCATCGCAATCCATATCATAATCATCGACAGTAATTTCGATAATTTCTGTTGAATTTGCAACAATTATTATTGAACAATCTTTATTGACGGTTGAATCCATTGCATTCAATCCATATAAACCTTCATAAATTACTAATTGTTCCACACAATCTATTTAACCCATCAATCAAAGGAGAAAAAATAAAATCTTCACTATTTGCTGTTTACTGAATAATTTTATACTTACGATCAGGATCGAATGCCATTTGATTATAAATAAAATGTTTTGGTTTATTAAAACAGGTTATTTCCTTGATATTATCTGTTGGTAATGATTCTATTCCCATTTCTTTTGTAATTTTTTTAATTGAAAATTGAATAAAATTATTCGACCGATAAGATAATAATGAAATTAAACGCATAGCAATATTTTGACAACGTAAAATCAAACTAAATGGAAATGTTTTGATTGGCGCTTGATTACAGATATGAAAATCATCTGGATGCATTATCGAAGATATACCAAACATAACACCACCACCAATTTCCGCCCAATCATCTGTTAAACGTTTTGTACAGGCTTTTGTCGAATGTTGTAGCAGTTCTTGTTCATTAATTTGATCATATTTGCCGCCAATATCATAACTTAATACATTTACTAAAATGCCATATAATTTTTCTGTTTGATTCCATGATTGTTGTACAAAATATGTTGAACATATTCTTGATTGACGATAATTACGTGTTAAATAAGTTGATTCATCCAGAATATTATCCATAGTATAGATTACATTACATGGTTCTTTATCGAATAAAAATCTTATTTTAAATGAAAATTGTGGACCAATTATGGAAAGATGATAATAAATTTGTCCAATATTTTGTGATGTACGATATATTCTTTTTCCTCTATTCTTAAGAAAATTGAATGTTTCTTCATCACATATTTTTAGCATTCGATTTCCCGATGCTTCTTTATGATCGAATGGATGTGGTAAAAATTCCCCATCATAATACCAACCATCAACTAAATTAATAAAATCCGAATCACGACATTCTTTTGTTGATTTATCACCTAAATTTAGATAATCCACTTCAAATTCAATGTTAAAACTTTCCGGTGCTTTAATAAAGATTGAACAATCTTTTCGACTATTATCTGTTGAAATATCAACAACAAAAAATCCCGGTTCTTGAATCGATTGTTGACAAACTTGATTTTGGAAAATGTAAAAAAAAATTAATACTTAAAATATTTATTCAACAAGTTTGCTAACAGCGCCGCATATATCCATTTGCTGTAGCGAACGTGTTAATTTATTTACCTGTAGAATCTAATCGTATTGGAATTGAAACCTTAAAATCTGATGGTATTTTTGGACAAACTAATTTTACTGGTCTTTTCATTATTGAATTATAAAATTGTTCGGATATTGGTCGATAAGTAAATTCAATATATTGATCAGGTGCATTAAAATCATCAATATGTAAACGTATGCCAATATTTGGACAAAATATTGGTATTGGTTTATCGTCT